AGCAGCTGAGCGAGTGAATAAAGTGCTGTAAACAGGCAGGACCTAAAGCCAGTTCGATTCCCTCTCGCTTAGGTGGCTTCGGCCGAATAGACAGAATGTGTTCAGATGCTCCTGACTGTGGTGGGCCCTGCCCTGGAATCTGTTGTGTGCCTGCTGGGTTTGCAGAGAGGGTCTTATGGTTCATAAATGAGAAATACAGCCTTCTTGTTCTTCCCCCACTAGTCCCTGGCGAATCGTGGACGACTGCGGTGGAGCCTTTACAATGGGAACCATAGGTGGTGGTATCTTTCAGGCACTCAAAGGCTTTCGCAATTCTCCGGCGGTAAGTGGCTGAAGCGTCCCATGTTGTCAGCTCTTGAAACCTAGGTTTGCTCATCACTCAGGCCCCATCACTGGGTTGGAGATGCACTATATTTCTAATATATTTTAGTTTTCTTTGGTTTCCGTATAGGGAGTAAACCACAGACTACGAGGGAGTTTGACAGCTGTTAAAACCAGGGCCCCACAGCTGGGAGGTAAGCAGAGTTTTTTCATTTGTACTCCAGACAATTTCTTTCCCATTTTTTGGAAGATGAAGTTCTGTTTTTTTCCTTTTTAAGATTCTACCACTTAGACATTTTACTTTGGTCTAAATAAAAGCTTGTCACAGCTTAACATCTCTGAAGGGCCTTGATTTATGATTTCCTTGGAAGGTTAACCTAAATTGTTGCATCCTATTGAAAATAAGCCTGTCCTTCAAACGCTCGGTGGTGTTTTGTTTTTCCCTCTTAATCCAAAAGGCAGACAGCGTGCCTACAGCTCGGGTTTGTGAGAGTCAGAGGTGGTAGCCTCGGGCTGCGTCACGCCGAGGAGAATGAGCTGAAGGGCTGAGGTTCGTGAGAGAGGGGCTGTACGGCGGGCTTTGGCCACGGCGCCGAGGTCGGTGCCGCAGCGGAGAGGGCTGTGTTCCTCCCGCTGTTTGAACGTGGTTGTTCAGAAGCTGGGAGAAGAGGTGGTGAGGAAGCCTGGAGGCCGTCTTCGCCTGTAAAGGCGCCGTTGGGCTGAAGAGACCATGTGTACCGCGCAGTAACGTCGTGGTGCTTTCAGTCCTGCTGAGTGAGCCTGTGCGTCGGAAGAAGTGGTTGTCGTTGTTTTTAGCGGAGAGTAGCTAGTATCGAACGTTCACCGAGTGCCGGCTGTGCGCCCAGCACTCTGCGGAAGCTTTCACAGGATATTGGACTTCATCCTCAGCAACACGAGAGGTAGTTATTTCGCCGTCTTCTAGCGAGGAAGCTGAGAGTTGAAGTGATGGTCTTCGCTCTGTAGTGATTGCACAGCCTGGAAAGTCAGTGTGACCAGTTTTCCTGTGTCTTAACGGTTGCTGTGTTGTTCGGGGATGCTACGTGCTGTCGGAGTCCGTGCCAAATCCCGAGCCTCCACGTAGGCGGCGGTCCTGTGGGTTTTGCAGGCTTTTGAGAGGATGCATCCGTCACAAGCATTTTCAGTGACTAAGAAAACAATCAGGTGACTCACAGGCATGAAGAGCCTACGGAGCCCAGAGGACTGAATGTAGTGAGGCCCTGGGACCGAGGAGATCGGAGTGAGTGTGGACTTTGGGAGCAGCGGGTCAGTGTTGGGCCATCGGTTGAGACAGGGGCACAGCACTCAAGTCAGATGCTCCGTGTGGGGAACGGGCTGTGGGGTGTTCGGGAACTCTGCTGTCTTCACAGCTTGTCTGTAACTCCAAAACTAGTCTAAAATTAAAGGTTTGTTTAAAACAACAGTTGGGGTGGAATGGAGGGAGGGTATGTCACAGTGCCGGTGAGCTGGGACCGTTCATTTCAAATCCTGGGAATCGGCCTTTTTAAGGAAACCATTGAGTGATCTTTATGAAGTCTTGACTTTTAAAAGCACTGGATGGCATTTTCAGTTTAGTTCAATGAGCATTTGCTGAGCTTCCGGTTAAGATCCCAGGAAACGCACAGTCGTAATTGTGTCCTGAGAAGTCTTATATTGTCATAGCAGAAATACGAGGTGCTTTGA